TGGGTGGTGGAAGATCCCTACACTTAAACAAGTAAATTATCTATGACAAATTTTTATCAGCCATGAAAGATGATTTTATGACATAAATTATTATGATAAATTCTCATCAGACAAGAATGATAAATTTAAAATATAAATGACTTATAATATAATAACTATTAAAAATTCAGTATAGGTCAATAGGGCTATATGTAGGTCGCACACTGGACTGAAAATGTATGTGTAGGTCACACATTGAATCGGTGTCCAAAAATATTTTAATATTTTTTGACTTTGTCAGCCATTAATTAAAAGTATTTATATTTTAATTCATTTGAGTCATGAGTTTCAAGAACAGTGCCAATTCAATTTAATATTTCAATAGTTGTGTTTTTACTCATGTAAATTGACTTGTCACTTTAGTTTTTTCATTCACTCAAGTAAAGTTTGATTTTGTTTTAGCTCTAATTTAATTAATTACAGTTCATATGAATGATTAGGTATGAGGAATTTCTTCTTTTGCCAAATAATAAGCACTTTGTACAAAAGTATAGAAATTAATTCTATTTTGTATTTTTTCTGAGTTACTTTGTTGAACCATTAGGTTTGTTTTTCCTTGTAAGAAAAATTTGTTCAAAGCTTAATTTGTTTAAGGCGATATTCTAAATAAGCATTTTGTAATAGTTGACAAATTTTACTGGTAATCTGTAAATGGWGTACATATTGTGATTTCCAGTGTTGGGTAAACTACTTTAAAAAGTAATGAAATTATGTTACTCGTTACTTMAATTATTTTTATTTAAATTACATTTGCGTTACCTAAAATTATTTTTATCTCGTTACATTACTTTTTCATTAACAAAGTAGTGTGTTACAAATAACATTACTTTTTCATTAACAAAGTAGTGTGTTACAAATAACATTACTTTTTTTTACCTTTCTTTTTTTTAACCATATTCAATTCATATGATTCAAATATTATGTAAGTATATATTTTACAATCATAGACCTAGTGATAATATACCTATTATAGTATTATGTACAAATGTATGATCATCTCACCTAGCTATATTGCTATATAGTCATAAGCAATCATAATTCAATTTTATTTTTAAACCGAACTCTTTTCTTTCTGCTAATATAATGATAACATTTATTCCTGGAATGTTTAATAATATTGTTAACTATTATCGGAATTAAAAATAAGTATAATTAATTTTTGATTTATCTGGGATATCCAATCGGTTTGTTTTTGTAATACATTCAAAACTATTATTTTAGTARCGTGGAAAATAAYGCGTTAGTGCGTTAYTTCATAAAAATTACTTTTCAAAAGTAATTTAGTTACAATTGCGTTATTTTAAGTATAATGTAATGAATTTACTGCTGCGTTACTGAAAAAGTAATTGCGTTACAGTAATTTGTAATTCGCGTTACATTACTACCCAACACTGGTGATTTCTGTTACCCACTTTAAAAATTACTAAGAAATTGTTCACCTACTTAACAAAATACCCCACCATTTTGAGTATTAAAATATAACTAGTTGAACAATTTTTCTCAATTGTTGTTTTGATTAGAATACGTTTTTAATACATAATGGATACTTTTATCTTTCAATAATTTGTGAGTTAAGGTAAAACCGGTGGGTTATCACACTCATCATCGTCTTCTCTAATAGTCGCAATTGATTTTTTTGAAAAAATATATCTAATGCTAGATTGCTTTTTCGTTTTAACATACTGGTAGTTGGCTGTTAGTTTTTTATGAATTAAAAAGCACTATTGCAAATGGAATAAACCTATTTGAATTAAAAACATGTTCTAAAATCTTAATTTTCTATACATTATTTTATTTTATTTCAAGTTGAACAAGAGTGTGGACCGAAGAACTGATACCTGTATTTTCTCCCAATTTGTGTTCACTAGCCACATTGTTCTGCAAACCACTTAGCAGAAATTGGACAAAAATGGAACCAACTAGTAAATATTAATTTATTGAAMATTTTTTATCTAATATTTTATAATGCTTAAATTACTTTTTTTTTATGCCTACAGCTGAAAATATGCATTTGGTACTAATTACTAAAAGCCGGTATCATAGTTAGAAATACTATGATATAATTTTAATATAAATTAATTATTATTTTCATTATAATGTTAATAGGAGATTATAATAATTATCTGTATTACGAGGTCAAGTTTGAAACTGTGCATATAATATATTTAGCGGTTGTGGACAATGCACATTGTATACTAATAATAATATAAAATACTTAATATGATGATATATATGTTAGGTTTTATTTTTTCTCGATTGGTACTCTTATTTTCATGGATACTTATTTTTGTATAATCAGCTTTTAAAAATAAGAACTAATCAAAGTTTGATTTTAATATGTTTGTGTATTATGCAGTCTATAAATTGTTTTGAATACCTACATTTTCTATTTATCACTCAATTATTTATGCAATATAACTTAAAATATTATTGATCATGTATTACTTTTGTTTGTGTATTGAACTTATTTTTACGCTGAATGTTTATAATGACAATATTACTGTTATTCTTAATACTTAATACTTTTTATATATTGCAGCTTTTGCTTTATTTTTAAATTGTATTTTATTACTAGGTTTAGTGAAATCACTAAATATTTATTGAACCAATAGTGAGCCCTTACAGGTACATGAATTATTAAATTAATTGATTTTTCATGTAAACCTTGATATAAGGCTTGTTGAA